CACAGACATTTATGTTCATTCTTACTTTTCTCAGTTCCACAGAGTTTCCTTCCCGAGCATCATGAAATTAGGATGTTTCCAAAAAAAATACACGGGCTCTTTGTCCATTGGGGAAAACTCTACTGCCCTTCTCTGAATGTCCAAAGGCAAGAACAGTGGGTGATGGGCATATCTCACAGCCTGACCACAAACACATCAAGTGTGGGCCCCAGGAGCCGGTACAAAGCAAGCCTTTAGTATACATCCTATGATTGGTTGAGGGAAGGAAGGATGAAATAAATAGCTCTCCATTCCCCTAACCTGTGGCCTGGCACCCATTTCCTCTCCACTCCTCCAAAAACCTGGACATCTATACTCATTCACTCAATAACTATTTATTGAGCCCCCGCTATGTGCCAGGCACTGTTCTAGGTGCTGGGGTGGGTTACAAGGTGGATCAGACAGATGGAAGTCTTGCCCTTCTGGATCTTAAATCTTAATAGGGGAAGCAGGTTATCAATAAGACACACGTAAGTTAAATTATGTGAGATCGTGGCATGTGCTTCGGAGACGGAACGGAACAGAGACGAGGCACGGGAGGTAGCAGGGGAGGGTTGCGACCTCATCGTCTCTGAAAGGAACTTAATATTAGCCGGTTGGACTCATTTAAGTGCTCCTTCCTCCTGATGTCTTTGCTGGCCATCCTGGCCCATTTATTGATGGTGAGCCGACTTCTCAGTGACCCTGTCTACCTAGGGTTTCTCAACATCGGCATTACTGACTGACATTCTGGGCGGGCTCGTTCTCGGGTTGTGGGTGTCCTGTGCTTTGTGCGATGTTTAGCAGCACCCTTGGCCCCTACCCACTCCGTATCAGTAGTACTTAGACCCCCAGCTGTGACAACTAAAAATGTCTCTGGACGTTGCCGATGTCCCCTGAGGGGTAAACATCATCGTGGTTGAGAAGCAATGGTCTACCTGGCTGTTCAAACAGTGCCAGTGGGCCAGCAGCATGAGCACTGCCTGGGGATGGGCTAGAAGCGCAGAATCTCAGGTATGACCAGATCTGTTTAATGAGCATCAGTATTTTAACAAGGTCCTTGGGCGGTTCGTATGCACATGAAGTCCCGGGGAAGCAGGGGTCTGCACCACTCGTTGGACCCTTACAGCCATGATTCTCGAACATGGTATGCATCAGACTCCCCTGGAAGGCTGTTACAAAGTAGGGGTGGCCGGGCTCTTCCCCAGATCTATGGAACCAGAATCTAATGGCATGGGGTAACGGTATCTGAATTTCTGGCCAACTTCCCAGGTAACTGACGCATACTACCATTTGAGAATCATTGTATCAGACCAGTGGCTCTCCACGTACGGTCCCCAGACCAGGAGCCTCTTGGTACCTATTAGAAATACAAACCGTCAGGCCCGACCTCAGACCCACTGAAGCAGAAACTCCAGGGCGGGGATAAGCAATCTGTTTTAACAAGGCTTCCAGGTGACTCTGAGGCTCACTCAACTTCGAGAACCACTGTCTTTGACTAGAGGGTTACAAACACAATAGCCTTCAGGGATACAGGCATGAAGGTATGGAAATAATAAAGGTGAAATATCTGGAAAGGACCTGTAGTCAACTAGAGACTCTGAGTTCTTGCTCATAATATTTGGATGAAAAACAAGACAGAAAGAAAAAGAAAGCTCCCTGGCCAAATAAAACCTCTGCAGACCCGATCAGCGGGGGGAGGGGGGCTCCCATTTGGCCATCTTGCAAGAGGTAATACCTTATATGGCTGTCGTCTTCCTAAGAAAACCTGGATGCCTCCTCAAGTTAGCAGTGATCTCCTTGAGGACTGATCTCTAGTTTGGGTAACCTGTAATAAGCTGGTGACACCCAGGGAGTGCTGGTCAGATTCTGATGAACTCTCATTGCGCCAACTGCTTCCAAACAAAAAACGCACAGAGGAAAGTCTCGGCTGGGAGAAGCTGGCATGTGGAAGACCAGGTTCTCAGGGCAAAGGTTGCACGAGAGCAGGGTTTCTCAACCTTAGCTGTGTGGACAACTAAGGTGCCACATAGGTCTTTGTCGTGGGGGCGGGGAGGCTGTCTTGTTCCTCGAGGTCGCTTAGCATCACCCCTGACCTGCTCACCAGACGCTGATAGCCCCCCACCCAACCAGAAATGTTCCCAGGCATTGCCAAAGGTCCTCTGGGGGCAAAACTGTCTCTGGCTGAGAACGACAGAATAAGAAGCAGGAAAGGACCAAAACGAGAGAAAAATCGGCCTTAATGTTTAACCGAGATCCTGTTTTTCACAGGGTGACCCCGGCCAAGGATAGCATTGCCGTCCAGGGTACAACTCCCCTGGGGGGGCGGGGGGGCTATCTTTTCTCTGGAGCAACCTTCAGGCTGCCTTGAGCTTTGTCAGATCTCAGTCAAGGCCCCCTCGTCCCCTCATCTAATCCTCCTTCTCCCCTTGCCTTGCACACCTGCTGCTCCCCAATAAACCCTCTGCACTTTTAGCTCCGTGCCCACGTCTGCTTCCAACATGTGAGCATCAGTAACGTGCCGGGCACCGCAGCCTAAGTCCTGAGCCTGACCTGCCTTGTGCTCCTCGTCTGTTCAAAACACCTGAAGAATCGGGAACCCTTGAGTGGTTCTCAACAGACCGAAGATGTTAGCTAACCACATCCATCCTCCCGATGAAGGCAGTGAGGGCTTCCCAAGCTGGGACAGGGGTGGATGGTGGGCGCCTTCAATAAGGGTTCTCAGCCTGTCTTTACAATGCCCGTCAATCCCACGCGATAGAAGAAACTCCTTGTGATAACATCAGGCGAAAAGATATTTACGAACACAAGTCTCTGAAAATCCCCCTTCGTCCAAGTCCGTGATGAATGCTCTCTGTCTGAGGGGGTCTCCGGGGTCTCTGTGCGGCTTCCATTCCGTGCACTGCTCTGGGAGGAGAGAATTCCAAACCCAACTCCTTTTAAATACGTAACCGATGACAGTTACAAATTGATGGCAAGTGTGTGAGCTGCAGCCGGCTTCCTGCCAGTGGCAGGCACCTTTTCTATTATTTATTTTTGAACGATAAAAGCTCAAAGATGCATGTCGCAGAAGGGGAGAGATCGCATTCCCAGTCTGAATTCCTGCGACAGACTCACTTTACCGGGGCAAGGGTAAGCAGCTCCTGACAGATTTTTAAAGCAGCATCAACATCCTGCAGGGAGTAGGGGTGGGGGTGGCGAGGAGGCGGGAAGTCCTGCTTCACAAAGAGCCAGAGAGGGAGGGAGACACAGGAAGGAGACCATCTCCTCCCCCGGCATGTTCTCTGGAAGAGACAGTGGCCCACTCTCTCTTGAAGCCAGAGAAAACAGTCCCCCACAGGGGGCAAGGAGACCTTCGGAGGCCACTCTGAGGGTGTAGGCCTCAACTTCCCCATCTGAGACACGGGGCCAAAAATCCTCCTGCCGCTTCATATGGGTCCTTGTGAGGTCACGTGAGCACATGATCAGGAGTGCGTGCCACGTGGTATGGCTCCACGTGAGACAAGAGAGCCCATCTCCGTGTCAGAGAAGGACTGGCCTTCCAGACTCTTTGGGGGCACTTTTTTGGTTCAGCTGAGGGTGGCCCGAGTCTAAGTCACAAGCGCCCTGAGTAGCCTGCGGTCGGCGGCACTGTAGCAGCTCCCTGCCACCCTCGCTGTCCACAGTCACCGGCTCCTGTGTCTCTCCTGTGCCCCGGGTCCTGCTGATTCAAGAAAGGGAAACAAAATGGTGCCCTGGGGTCTACGGGCAGGGCAGCCGGTGTGTGTGTGGGGGGTGATGGGTTTCCTCCACACGCACACAGGATTTCCAGAGCCCCTCGGGATTTCTCAAGGCAAATTTAAGGACAAGGACCTGCCTTTCTTCTCTTTGAAATGCTGAGTATGGGAAGCAGGGCTGCAAACAGCAAAGGCATTGTGCTCAGAGAAGGGGTCTGTGGCATGTCGGAGAGCTAAGGCAGAGGACGGCCACCGCAGCCCAGGGATGTATGAGGAGCCCCTGAAGCAGGACTGTGTGCTCCCCTGCCCGACAGCGAATGGGAAAAATCTGAGAGCATCTGAGATGCTTCCACTTATAAGAAAGGAAATTACATATAAAGTTCCCGAGTTTCCCGGAGACTTGATCCCCCTCCCTCATTTCTCTTCCTCATTAAAGATGTATTCAGAGGTGCAGGAATATCTCTGTGGAGTCTTATGATCCTAGCATTTTTAAGCAACATCTGAATCAGTGGGCTTTTTCCTGTGGTTCCCTCCTTATCATCTTTTTTTTTTTTTTAATGCTTATTTATTCATCTTGAGAAAGATGGAGAATGCGGGCGGGGAAGGGACAGAGCGAGAGGGAGCGAGAGAATCCCAGGCAGGCTCAGGGCTGTCAGCGCAGAGCCCGACACAGGGTTTGATCTCATGGGAATGATGAGATCATGACCTGAGCTGAAATCAAGAGTCAGACACCCAGGGGCGCTTGGGTGGCTCAGTCGGTTAAGTTCCGACTTCGGCTCAGGTCAGGATCTCGCGGTCGGTGAGTTTGAGCCCCGCGTCAGGCTCTGTGCTGACAGCCTGGAGCCTGCTTCGGATTCCGTGTCCCTCTCTCTTTGTCCCTCCCCTGCTCACATCCTGTTTCTCTCTGTCTCTCAAAAATAAATAAACATTTAAAAATTTTTTTAAAAAGAGCTGGATGCCCAACTGAGCCAGCCAGGCACCCCGCTTCCCTACCCTTTGTGAGTACTGTCACACCACAGTTCGTCCCACACTGCAGCCTAAGGGATTTCTATTTTCAAAAGGAAGATGAAGAAGATATATTTGAAGGTGCGAAGTGTGGGGAGTCAGGGTTTTGTTCTGGTTCAGCTCCAAGGGGCAATCTGATCACCAGAGTTGTATGTAAGGGCACCTAATCAGACACTGAGAGCTATTTTCCTTGATTTCCTTTCCTCTTCTCTCTTTCTTTCTTTTTCTTTTCCTCTTTCTTTCTTTCGCACTCATCTACAGATACTGCAGAGAAGGTGGGTTGCAGCTGTGGGCAGTTATCTGGATCAACTTGAAGCCCCGTGTTTTGAAGCTTTTCAGCGGGAATCCTCCCACCCAGGAGGTAAGGTGGTTCCCACCGGGACACCCCTTCTCATTTTCTCTGTTTGCTCCGGAATAATTACAACCCGAAGAGAAATCTGCCTGAGGTTAAAGTCAGCTGTTTGGTTCGGATAAAATACAGCCAGTCTGCCTGGAAAAACGTGACGGATTCAGTGTTCCTGTGCTGTGGGTGAATTCAGACCCTCAAACGCATAATCAGAGGCGCGCGGTTAAGAGAATGGCACAGGCCTCTAATGTTCTTGCGAAAACGGTAATTTCCTCAGCTTCCTCGTGCTCGAGGAGTTGGGGACAAATGGATCATTGGCTGAATGGCTCCCCGGCGTATACTCACCTACAAGTCTCCTCATCAGGGTGATTCAGACCCTTTGGAAGGGCCAGATCTTCAAGGAAAGCCACTCATCAGGCGCTCTAAGGATGCCGATCGACTGTTCCAGCTCCAGAGAAAGCAAGGGCTCACATCTTGCCTTGCTTCCCCTCGTTTGTCACGTGGGGATTGTGGCTGGCCACATGGGTAGTAGCCGTAGTGGGTTGAATAATGTCCCGCCCCCTCCCCCCAACGCCCCCATTCAAGTCTACCTGGAATCTTAGAATATGAACCTAATTTGGAAAAAGGGTCTTAATAGATGTAAGTAGTTATGGAATCCAGAGACGAAATCTTAGATTTAGGGTGTGTCCTTGTGAAAAGAGGAGAAAACCCAGAGAGACACTGGGGAGAAACCCACGAGAAGACAAAACAGGTGTTGGTTGGAAAGAGAGATTGGAGTAAGGTTGCCATAGACCAAGGAACTCTGGGAGCAAGAACAGTCGAGGAAGGACCCTCCCCTAGAACCTTCCGTGGGTGTGTGGGCTGGCTGGTGCCTTGATTTTGTACGGCCGGCTTCCCCCACTATGAGAGAATATATTTTTGTTGCTTTAAGTCACCACTTTGTGGTAATTTGTCATGGCAGCACTAGAAAACTCATATACGAGCTTCATTACTGCCTTCTATTACATTAGTATAGATACTATACTGGCGGCATATCTTAATTACGCACCATTCCCCAAGTTCTGAATCTCCAGGTCTCTCTCTCTGCAAACCTTTTCCTTCCTGGAGCCTCCAAATTGCAAAGGGAACATGAAACCGTTGGGGCCCAGTGGTGGGAGGTGAGAAGCTACCCAAATAAAGTGGCTGTGTCTTAGCAAAACACCTAGAGGGACCCCTGGGTCGCTCAGTTGGTTGGGCGCCCGACTTCGGCTCAGGTCACGATCTCACGGTTCGTGAGTTTGAGCCCCGCGTCGGGCTCTGTGCTGACAGCTCAGAGCCTGGAGCCTGCTTCGGATTCTGTGTCTCCCTCTCTCTCTCTCTGACCCTCCCCTGCTCACACTCTGTCTCTCTCTCAAAAATAAACAGACATTAAAAAAAATCAAAACAAAACAAACAAAACAACTAGAATACAAACAGCTAAGATGATAAGAGTCGATGGGGATTCAGCATCTGACAACGGGCCAGTCGGTGCCAAACACTCTTTGGGATTTTCAGGCTGAATCCTTGGGAGGTAGGGGTGATCATTCCCTGTGCTTTCACACAAGGGGAACCGCCTGCTGGAGGTCAAGTTCCTCCATTGAGCAGAACTGGCTTTGACTCCTGGCCTGCGTCCTGAACCAGCACCCTGCCACCCTCTGCCTCTCCACCCTGCTCGAACCCTAACAAGCACCCTAGGGTTGACTCTTGCAACCTCAGCTTTCTCGACACCAAGTATAAACGGATAGCACTTAAATAATTGATCTTGAGGGAAACGAAGCCGTTGCATAACTTATTCATCAATCACTCTATCAGCACAGCCGATAAATGTCATGCTTTTCATGCCTAACTATTCAGGGGATGAAGAGGTAAACAGTGGTAACACGTTTCAATGTGCTTATTATTATTATTTTTTTATTTTTATTTTTTTATTTTTTTTTTTTTTAAATTTTTTTTTTCAACGTTTATTTATTTTTGGGACAGAGAGAGACAGAGCATGAACGGGCGAGGGGCAGAGAGAGAGGGAGACACAGAATCGGAAGCAGGCTCCAGGCTCTGAGCCGTCAGCCCAGAGCCCGACGCGGGGCTCGAACTCACGGACCGCGAGATCGTGACCTGGCTGAAGTCGGACGCTTAACCGACTGCGCCACCCAGGCGCCCCTATTATTATTTTTTTAAAGGCAGCTATCGGACATTCTTGGAGATTGCTAAAAGGTAACAGACAGAGGTTTGCTTAATTGGCTCAGATCTCCTGTTCGTCGGAATGCTGTATTGTCCCGTTCCCAAGAGATGCTGTTGGCATGAGATACAGGACGGGGCAAGTCACAGCCTCTGGTTACAGTGTTTGTGTGGATAAGACCACTTTGTGGGGGGCGGGGTGGAAAGAGGGACACATGGGCAGCTCCAAATGCCTCGCTAAGAATACAAAGCCAGGCTTGTTCCTAGGCAGGGGGACTGTGCTGATGGTTCTCAAACACTGGGCATCAGCATTAGAGATGTAAGACTGTCACGTCAGGAGAAACAGAGATGGATGTACACAGAGTTCCGAAGAACTGAAATACTCATGCTTTTGGGGTTAGGGCTGCTACAAACGGTGCCTGGGACGCGGTGAGCTAAGCAAGGCCTTCTTCCTCTAACAGTCAGTCCTGAAGACGACACTCAAGGAGCGGACCGAGATACACCCAGATGGCAACTGTAAGCTTCGAGGGTGTGTGGCTGGCTGTCCATTCCCTAAAGCTGACCAACATTGAACCTTCCGGCCTGTGGTGTCAGCAGCCCATTGACCCGCCATGGCAGATGCCCCAGAAGTCTCATCTGGACTTGAGCACACAACAGGCAACTAGTCCAAAGACTAGTTGGTCAATGAGTCCAAAGAAAATGGTCACCGTCCAGTCCATCGGGAATAGGCCTCTGCGAAAGCCTGCCCACTGGGGAGCGGGGCTAATGAAGTTGGTGCGCTTGGCCTCTCCCCTGGGAAACGTCTCTCCTTCCTGACCTGGGGCACACACACACACCTCACAAAACCATACAAGACGGGTATGATTACAAAGCCACTTTATTGACGAAGAAACGGAGGTAAAGAATAGTCCTCGGGATCATGCAGCTAGGAGTGGTGAAGCTGTGATTCTACCTCAGGCCTCGCTGACTTGAGAAGCCATGCCCTTAAGGGGTCAGCAGACGGAGGCCCACTACTTGTTTTTGTAAATAAAGTTTTATTGGTAACACAGCCAAACCCATTCATTTATGTATTGTCTACAACTGCTTTCCTGTTTCAGCGACAGAGTTAAATAGTTGCCACAGACACTGAATGATCCACAAAGCCTAAAATGTTTACTATCTAGGCCTTTACAGAAAGTGTGCTGGCCCCTGCTCTTAACCATAACAATGTTCAATTTGATCAAAGGTGCAGGGGCCCCAGCACACAAAGCAGGGGTGGCTGAACCAGGTGGGAGGGTTAGAGGGCCCTTCCGGACGGAATCACCAGAGACCAGGACCGTCCTCATATCCTTTATTCATCGTCTCTGACCTCTATCTAGCGTTAGGATCATCCCTTCCCACGGCTCAAGAATCGCTCTGCCTCTCCGTGCCTCAGTTTCCCCATTCACAAACGTGGAGAACAGCAACATCGCTCATGGAATTTTCGCGACATTTAAGTGAGATCTATGAGATAAAAGGCTCAAGACGGGGCTTGGCACAGAGTCTGCCCTCAATGACCCCTTCTTTCCTTCTTTCCTTGGGCCTGTGACCAACAACATCATTCTATGTGCCTGGCAAAAGTGTGGTGCCGTGGGGGAAGCCCCTGCCACCAGCCTGCTGTTCAACAGGCCCATCAGGCGGAGGAACAGAGAGAGAGCTCTGCTTTCTGGATAGATAAATACGCAAAAGGCAAAATGCAGCATACTCGAGGGACCTTCTTACTGCATAGCCACCGGCCTTGTGTCGATATTATCGTGACCTTGCTGGCAATAGTTTATTTATTTATTTTTTTTTTATTTTTTTTTTTTAAATTTTTTTTTTCAACGTTTTTATTTATTTTTGGGACAGAGAGAGACAGAGCATGAACGGGGGAGGGGCAGAGAGAGAGGGAGAC